ACGCAGATAATTTTCGGACACCTCATCATTTTCGCTCAAGCATAGCATCACCAATGGTTCGAACCACCTGCAATAGTGACCAAGTAAACCAAAATTTTGTTTTTTCCCGATCCTCTTCGCCACCCCAACTTGCCTCCACACTGCCTCGCAATCGCTCAAAGTCTAAAGCATTTTAGCTGTTTCTCTACTCACCTGCTTTCTCTCAACTGCTCCATCAAACAGGGTAACTACCAAACCAACGGTACTCCCAGCCTCTAGAGTACATCAGAAGAAAAAGGAAAACAGAGAAGAACCCCACTTCGCGTACTCAGGGCAGTCCTCTTTCCGGTTCCGTCGACTAGGCTGCACGTAGGTATTGTAAAACCACTTGATACAGAAGCAAAGGTTCAGGTAGTCGGACGTCTTTATTTTCGCCTTTGAGAAACGCGTGGTGGTGATCTGTTCTCCTGTCTGCTCCACCGTCGTTGTGGGAGCGGAACGTTTCTGCCTCGACGTCGCCGTAGTGGTGGACGTTGTGTTTATGAGACGTCGAATCACCGCATCGTAATGCTGCGTCAAACCGACGGCGATATCCTCTGCCAATAGATTCCACATCATCTCAGCAGAGAGGTCGCCCAGGTTTATGTCCTGCGGAAATCTGCAACCGCAAACTCACATTCTTCACTGCTCTTGTGGATGGCTAAATATTCCGCCATTTGCATAAAACAAAAAAGAGGGTGGAAATGAGTAAAATAAAGGCTTACTGATTGAGCACGGGTGCGTAGTGCTTCCGGTCGTCCTCAATTACCGAGACCATGAGAGAAATCAGTTTGTACCAGTAAGATGATGACCTGACTCCCAACACTGGATCAATGTCACTTTGAGCCTCAGCTGAGCACCTTTCGCTGGTTGATCTGGAAGCGGCGTGTGTGCTGTCACTATAATAATAAAGGGAGGAGGGGAGAGGAAGGGTAAGCAAATACATCGTTTATTAGCCGATTATAAATTTTCGTTTTTTTTTTTTAAAAGACTTGAAACTCAATCATTCAAAAAGTCGGACGGTGACGCCGTAAGGGAATTTCACCATGTCACCCTACGAA